TTCTTCCCATTGAGCTAAAGAAGGAGGCAGAGCCACAGGTCACTTAAGTGAACTTTATTTATTATTATTATTATTTTTTAATTTATTTTCTTTTTCAGTTTTTTGGCTGCGTCAGGTCTCCATTGCTGTGCACAGGCTTCTCTCTAGTTGCGGCGCGTGAGCTTCTCTCTAGTTGTGGTGTGCGGTTTTTTTCTTTTTTTCTCTCTCTAGTTGTGGCATGCGGGCTCCAGAGCACGTGGGCTCTGTAGTTTGCTGCACGCCGGCTCTCTTGTTGAGGCATGCGAGCTCAGTAGTTGTGCGTGGGCTTAGTTGCCCCGCGGCATGTGGGATCTTAGTTCCCTGACCAGGGATTGAACCCGCGTCCCCTGCATTGGAAGGTGGATTCTTAACCACTGTGCCATCAGGGAAGTTCCCACTTAATGAACTTTAGACACAGATCCTAGAATGTCAGAGCTGGTAGGGCCCAATTTCTTCAGGTCCTTTTTTATCGATGAGGAACCTGAGCCCAGAGAGGGGCCGTGACAGACCCAAGATTCCACAGTGAGACAGAATCAGCTTCTGCCTTTTTCAGGACCTCGGGCGCAGGTGAGCCCTGGGGTCTCAGAGGGGAATGTAGACTGAGATGAAAATGCCACCCTGGAGAATTTGGCTAAGGGCACCTACCCTAGGCCTTCTTCCTCAGAGCTGTCGGCAGAAATCCTGGTCTATTCCATATATGCCCACCAGGTGGCACAGGGGCACCGGAGAAAGGCACAGGAATCAACGATAAGTGGGCGCCTTCCTCATTCAGAGCAATTATTCCTAGCAAGTGGAAATAATGAGGTGGGAAGACTGCCTGCTCTGGGACAGCACTCAGGCAACTGTATACATTATATACATATACAGAGGTGAATTCTGCCTCAAATAAGGAGACTGCCTTGGGGAATTGTTAAAAACTTGGATACAGGCGTCACGTAGACTTGGTAGGAAATCTAGCTCCCCATTGCTGCTTTATCATGACACCTAGCTTCTGACACGTAGAGTGGATGCAAGACAAGGTCCTCATTTCCCAGGGCTCTACACAGAACCCGAGTTGCTTATGCCCTCTTCCTGGCTGGTCCCTTTTCCAGGTGGATGGTGGGCAACTCCTGCTGGCAGAGACGTCTCGGTTAGAGGGCAGGGAGAAGATGAGGTTAATGGAATCTGACAATCTCACAACACAGCTTAGGCCTGGCAGCTCGTTCACCTCACATCACACAGGAACCTCATGTGCAAAGGCTCTGGGGCTGGGAACTATGAATGTTTGGGGTGATGGGGGCCAAAGATGCCTGAGAGCAAAGAGAGGGTTGGAGAAGTAGGCTGGGCCTTGAGGGCTATACCAAACGATTGACTTTGAACTTTATCCTGGGAGCAATAGGGAGCTACTGAAGGTTATTCAGAAGGGGGATGACTTGGTTAGGTAAGTGTTGAGAGCCATCACCCTGATTGCAGGTGAAGGGAAGAATGGAGGTGGGGGAGCCTGGAGGCAGAGAGAGAGACCAACCAGGAGGCTGAGCAAATGAGAGCTGAGACTGGACTCTGTGATGGCGATGGTGGCGGGTTTTCCATCCACTCAGAGCTTCTGACCAGCTTAAGGCACACCATTAACACTTGTCTGTCTTGTCCAGGAGATAGTTCTCACAGGGTAAGGGGCTGCCCAGACAGGAGGAGAAGGTGGTCCCTACAGTGGGTGTTTCCTAGAAGATCCTTGAGGAAAACAGATAGCCTAGGCTAATGAGAGAGACAAGATCCTGGGCCAGGGTGCAGGGGAGATGCAGTGTGGTCTAATGGTTAGAAACACACATCTCTCTCGTGTCCCAGCCTAGCCAGTTCTTAGCTGTGTGACCCTAGACAGGTCACTTTGCTTCTCTGATATTCAGTTTACTCATCCATAAAATGTGGTTGCCAGTAGGGCTCACCCCTTGAAGCTGTTGTCATGGCAACGTAATATGCTCAGTGCAGTGCTGGGTACCGAGGAAGCACCCAACACATGGAAGCCCAAGGGGGAGCTTCCGGTTCTCAACTCCCCTCAAAAACAGTCTTTTGCTGTGGCACGGTGGTCATTTTGGCTCTGCAGCACCTCATCAGGCCAGGGTGGCTCCAAAAACAGGCCAGCCTGGGCTGCACACCACACTGAATCAGGCCAAGGGAATTCCAGCCAGAAGCAAAGAAATGATGCCTTGGTCAGCCCAGGGCCACATTCTGTGGGAAATTACCATTTCTGTTCCACTTTTAAACAAAATTTTATATTTATTTATTTATTTATTTTAGCCGTGCAGCATGCAGGATCTTAGTTCCCTGACCAGGGATCAAACCCATGCCCCCTGCAGTGGAAGCCCGGAGTCTTAACTGTTTCCATTTTTAAAGCATTAAAAATGATTCTCCGTACTCCAGGGATCTCAGGTGAGATTCCTTATTTTAATTTTGTCAGTTTCTCCCTTATTTTGTGAGTGCTGGTGTAGTACAATCTTCCCATAGTTCCGGTCATTGTGGTAAGGGTTTTGTATCTATTCTTTCATGGAATCTTTATAGCAGCTCTCTTAGGTAGGTACTATTTGTTGTTGTCTTCACTGTATGGATGAAGAAACTGAGGCTTGAAGAGGTTAACAAATGTACCTGGGTCTGACACCAGCCCCTTTGCTTGTCACCATGACACTTACCTGCCTTGTGGACAGGTCATCAGAAAGGCACTTAGGCCACCCGAACAATCTGCCCCCAGAGTTACCTAGTGAGTAGAATGCCAAGGCTTGTCTGGACCAAAAGCCAATAAGAGAAATGACCATGGGATACAGGGCCCAGCAGTTGTCATAAGGCTGATTGAGGCACAGTCCATTGTATTAGTTGGGGTCCCTTATATAATACATTGTCTCTTCCACATCACTGACCTGATTCTTCCAATCAGGCTGTAGCAATAGCTAATTCTTATATAGAATTCACCACGTGACAGGCCTGTTATAAGAACTGAATATGCCTTGGCTCATTTAATCCTCCCAATGACCCTAAGAGAGGGGTATTATTATTATATCATCCCCATTTTTTAGATGAAAAACAGAAGCACAGAGAAGTTAAATAACTGCCTAAGTAAGTGGTAGAGTTGGGCTTCAAAACAACACAGTCTGGCTCTGGGGTTTGTTTGCTTAATCACATGTTTACTACTTCCCATATAATTTGTAACTCATCCTGTTTCCCTCTTTGCTTTGACTGCCAGGAAACTCAGAGCCATGGTTTTTGCTCTGTCACAGTTGCTGTCCTTAGAAAACTTGACCTAGCATTTCTGCTATTATTAGTCAATTTTTCACCTTTCTTCCCTCCTTCTCCACTGCCCTTTGGTCCAGGCTTTCATTTCTTCTTGATTCTTGCTCTTTAATTATCCATCATATAGGCTTGCAGCTGCAATGCAAAACCCTTTTTGGAATAGACAAGACATAATGCATCAGTGAGATGAACAGACTATTTCTGCCCAGCTGAACCAGGTGGACACAGTCAGTGCTAGATGGATGTCTTTTGAGCAAATTTTCTGTGACCGACATCGTGGTTTGTGAAGTGGAGGACATAACAATGAACCTAAGTTGGTCCCAGTGTTAGTTAAGTTATGCTAACTGCCGTAATAGAGAAATCCTGAGACCTCAATGCCTAAACACTAAATAGAAGTTGGTTCAATGTGGGTACCATTCAGTCAAGCGACTTGGGTGAAACCCAGGCTGACCAAGGCTCTGCTGTGTTCAGCATGTGGTTTCCTAGGTTCATGTGGTGTTGGCATCCAGTTAGCAGATGGGAGAGAAATGAGAGAGCTTTGAGAAAGCATACATAGTTCTTAACTTGTATTTGGCCTGGACACGGCACACATTGTCTCTGCCCATATCCCATTGTCACATACTTAGTTGCAAGAGGTGCTGGAAAATGTAGTCTGGGCTGGCTGCTTTGCTCTGAAACAACTCTACACATGAAAGGGGAACATCTCTGGTAAATAGCTGGCATTGTTCCAGTTCACAAGGACTTAAAATGATTGAACCCTTATAAAATGGCTAAGGATACCATGCAGTGTGTATAATGCCCAAGAGGAGGGAAATGTTCTTCCTCTGTTTACAAGGAACCATGAGCAAAATGAAGTATTTATATTTTAGACCAAACATATTTGTCCAACAGGGGAATGGATTATGATGCGAGAGGGAGAGTTCCTCATGACAGGAAGTATTGAAGCAGAGGCTGAATTTTCACTTGGCTGAAGGGTCTAGAAGTAGTCAGGCTAGATGCTTCCTACTAGTCCTTCTAACTTTGAGCTTCTGTGCTAGGCTCCAGAGTCATCTCCGAGTGCCTATTTTGTGTCAAGTTCCAAGTGGGGTTTGGGGGACCCAAAGACAAAGGAGACAGGGTTCTGATTCTCAGGTTACTCACTGTAATGCGTTGAAATAGGACATCTGGGATGCAGGATAGTGGAATGGCCTGAGCTCTGGAAACAGGAGATTGGCATTTAATTCCTAGCTGTGAGACATCGGAGAAGCCACTTGGCTTCTCTGGTTCTCAGTCTCCTCATTTATAAAATAGGGACAATAGTTATCTTCATAGGTTCTGAGGACTCAATGATACAATTACATTTAGAGCATTTGTAGCACAGCGCCTGGTAGGTAGTGAACACTTTATTTTATTTGCAGTAATGTTTTTATGACGGCCTTGGGTAAGTCACTTCATTTTTTCAAGCCTCAGTTTTCTCATCCGTAGGATGGAATTAACTTCCATCACGGGGCTGGAATCTTGCTGTGTTGTAGGGTCTGGGGTCTGCCTTTTCAGCTCTCAGCTTCCCGAAGCGGTAAGCGGGTCGCATCACGCCCAGTGGGTAAGTACGAGAAGATTACGGACCGCAATCGGCACCTTCCCGGACAGAGGAGGAACCTGAGCGAACCAGGACGCGATTTCCTGGCTGCGCTCCCAGGAAGGACGTTTGTGCTGGGTCCCATCCCCCGGCCGGTCCTGCTCAGGAAACGTGGAGAGAAAGCCAGGAACCAGGCCTGCCGGGCCCCGCGGCCCCTCCGCGCCTCCCCCCTCCGCTGCCCCCGACTGCAGGAAGCCGGCCGGCGGGAACGCCCTGCCCGGCGGGTGGGAACGGCCCCGCCGGCTTCCCAGGCCCGCGGGGGCGCGGCGCGGCGCTGTCACTGCGGCAGGCGCGCCGCCTCCCGCGCCGCCCGCACTCCCGCTGCAGTCGGCCCATTAGCATTGCAGGAAAGTGCTGCAATCCTGGTTCCTCCCGGGCGCCGGAGCGGAGAGACTGGGTCCCGCAGGCGCCTACACCCCACCCGCCCCGGAGCCCACGCCGCGGGGCCTTGGGCTGGGGAGGGAGAGGTGTCCGACCCTTTCTTTTGGGAGGTGAGACGCTGAGGCCTGAGGGTTTGTAGGTGAGTGGCCCAAGGTCATGGCTAGTAAACAGCAGGGCCAGAATTCGACCCGTGGTCTGTTTGACTCTAGAGTTTGTGCCTTGAGTCTGCGGTCCTGGTCCAGGTTCTTGAGGGGTTTCAGGTTCTTGTGGAGGCCCAAGAACAGGAGGCCTGATTCTGGGGGTTACTGATGGCCTCCTAGAGGTCTGTGAAAGCCTTGATTTTGTGTACAGCATCTTGTGTGTTGCATTTTTCCTCAAAGGTGTCAGTGACCCAAAAAAGGTCTTACCATAGCTTTCCAAGGCCCACGGGTTCCCCTGTGGGGACACCAGCTTTGTCCAGGCCTGAGCCTCCTCTGCAATCTATGTGGCATCTTAACGTCTCTGCAGGGGAAGGACTTGGGGTCTCTACGGGATCCCAGGCTCTTTCGCCTGGATCTTCAGAATCTTTTTATAGAATCTTGGGGTCTGTCTCTGAATTTGAGGTCCCCATGGGGCCCTGGTATCTCTTTCTGTGGTTCTGAGAATCTCACTATAAAGTCCTATGGTCCCCATGGTGTGAGTTCTAAACCTGGGCCTCAGGATGCCTATGAACCCTGAAATTGCAGGCAAGACTTTGTGGGTCTGTCTGTATACATGTATACATGGGAGATGATTCATGGATTTCACCAGATTCTCAAAGAGGGCCCTGATCCCCCAATCTTGGAAAAACATTGCTTTTGAGCATCCCGTGTTAGACAGACCTTGCTCCCTTTCACCAATAAGAGCCAGGGAAGAATAGGAGGGAGGAGATAAAAGGCAGTGTTGTTTAGTAGAAGAATATGGGTGTGGAGTCAAGTGTTCTGGGTTAAAATCCCAGCTTTTCCACTCAACAGCTGTGTGACACTGAACAAATTTCTTAACATCTCTAGGCCTCAAGGCCACCTCCTTTAGGAAGCCTTCCCTATGTCCTGGATTCACTTAGGTCCCCACAACACGTCCCCCAAGCTCTCATTGCACCTGGGCTGATACTTTGTGAGATTTTTTTTTTTTTAATTTATTTTTGGCTGCGTTGGGTCTTCATTGCTGCGCACGGGCTTTCTCTACTTGCGATGAGTGGGGGCTACTCTTCGTTGCAGTGTGCAGGCTTCTCATTGCGGTGCCTTCTCTTGTTGCGGAGCACGAGTTCTAGGCGCCAGGCTTCAGTAATTGTGGCATGCGGGCTCAGTAGTTGTGGCTCGAGGGCTCCAGAGCGCAGGCTCAGTAGCTGTGGCGCACGGGCTTAGTTGCTTCATGGCATGTGGGATCTTCCTGGACCAGGGATTGAACCCGTGTCCCCTGCATTGGCAAGCGGATTCTTAACCATTGTGCCACCAGGGAAGTCCCACTTTGTGAGATTTAATGCAGTTAATTAATGAAGTAATTAACTGTGCTTAATATTTTCTTGTCTCTCCACCCCACCAGTCTTAAGGTCTAAGAAGGCAGGGACCTTTGCTGTCTTACACATGTTAGGCTCTCAGCCATTTGTTATGAAATAAATGAACGAGTGAAGGAATGGAGGGACTGCCAGACACTGCACTAGGGGCAGAAAGGAATTAGCAATGAATAAGCATTGTTCCACTCCTCGAGGAGGTCCCAGGCTAGTGGGGGGTGTAATATGAGCTTGTGCAAGGAAGACTGTCCTAAATGTGTTAATGGGGGGTAAACATTAATGGGGATAAACACTAATGGGGAAAGCACCAAGAGATCCAAAGATGAGTGAGAATCAGTCTCAGAAGAGTGATATAATGACTTCCCTTTGAATTATGTGTTATAACTTACAAAGCGCTTAACTTACGTAAAATATGCAGGTACGTCCTTACTCCACAGAGATGGGGAAACTGCTGCTGGGAAGAGTTCAGTGACTTGCCCGAGGCCACCCAGCAATCATGGCTGCCTAAGTACACAGGTACTCACGTTGGAATTTAGCCCTCACCCTTTAGGAATTGAGTTTTGATGTTGTGAAGGTCTTGGTTTAGATCCCAATAGATGTGAGACTTTGGGCAGTTTACTTTACCTCCTTGAGTCTTGTTTTTCTAATCTGCAAGATAGGAATAATGACCTTCATAACCTATATGATGCTTGGTTTATAGTAAAGGATCCATAAGTGTTTGTTGAATGAATGTATGAAATACATGTGTTGGTGGGTGGTCTGAAATGTGAGAGGACTTAAAATTATGCCATTTTGGGGGTGGTAGGAGAAACTGAGGGTGATTCTATCCCTTCCCACTCTTACTTTCTATGATTCCTGTGAGACTTAAGCATTGGCCTCAACCACATCGTTCTAATTTATTGTTTGGAAACCAACAAAAGTGAACCAGCACGGGCTTGGTTAGCTTTCTTATTATATACATCTTTACTGCCTTTTTTCTGATGACCAAGTAATACATCCTCTTTGTAAAAAAATTTAAATTGCAGAAAGATATAATGAGGAGAAATGAAAGTGCAGGCAGGTTTAGGCACTGTAGCCACAAGATGCTGTCAGATTGTTACTCCTTGGGAGGTGGGGATGGGGCACAGGACAGGGAGCAAAAAAAGATTCTTCCTGTTTAAAGGTCTCTCCTACTGGCCTTGCTATGGTTCCTGGGAGTTCTGTTCAGAGTCTTGCCTCTGGCTATACCATTGAAAGTTCAAGTGCAGCTAAGGGCTGGGGAGACGTGAGAAGATGAGAATTGTCTGGGCTGGGGCTTTCCCTGGAATGCGATGAAGAATGAGGTGGAACCTGTAGAATTTTCTATGGCGTATGAACAGTTGGTTCAGATGCCCACTGCTGATACACCTTGTAGCTGTGTTTTCATCCTCTTTCTCCCTCTTAGCATTCAGTAGAGTCTTTTTTGAAAATTCCCGCTATACACACACACACACACACACACACACACACACACACACACAAAGAAACGCAAAATAAAAAGAAAGGAAAAAAGGTGAAGGCATCGTATTTAGTCTTCTATATTCTCTGTTTTGTAATGCATATACTAAGCATATAAATTATAATTATGGGATCCTACTACTTCTGTAATTCTGCAACTTATTCTTACTCTTTTTTTTTTTTTAATTTAACAATACCCGGTAGACACTTTTTCTTGCCTATTCATGAAAATCTATTCCATTCCTTTTACCAGATGAGCTTCTTATGGTTGGAACTATTACCTCCAGTCCAGAGGCCAGCACATGAGAGGACTTACTGGGAGGCCATGTTGGAATAGTCACAGCAGCCACCATATCCTGGCATGAACTAGATGCCAGGCTCTGAACTAAGCTCTTTCACATGTGATTTCATTTGATCCTCACAGCCCCTGAATGAAATAAATACTATTATTATTCACATTTTTCAGATGAGAAACTGAGGTGCAGAGACTTGAAAGCCCAAGGTCACACAACTGGTAAGTAATGGAGCTGAGATTTGAATCCTGATCTGTCCTGTGCCAAAGCTTTTGCCCTGAATGAATGAATAAGTGGCTGATCAGTTCATGGGTCCCAGAGAGAAGGTTCTGTCTTCAGAACCTCCCCTGTATGTCCTGGGTTCTCTCTTCCAAGTGTCTGCAATGCTTGGAATCAGCACATAGCAGGGACTCAGTAAAGGCCCTTTCTTTGCCTGCAGCAATCCTGTGGCCATGCCTTCCTTTCATGGGAAGTTGAATTTTGGAATCTCTTATTCTAGAAATAAGCTGCGATTTGTTAGGGGCTCTTGAGGACCAGCCCAGGCAATTCAGAACAGCCATTTGCCTGTCCCCCCTCGCAGGAAATTAATCAGAACCCCAAAGCCCTTTCCCTCTTCCCACAGGCCAGCACTCTGGAGACACCCAGTGCCTTGCTGCAGTTCTGCTAGAAGACTGCGGAGTCGCCAAGGGCAGTTTAACACAGATCCATCTCTCTGTAAGGAAAACGAGAGGAGAGAGGCACAAGGGAGAACCAGGTCAGCTCTGCTGCAAAGGATGAGAACTTGAAGGCGTCCCCAGCCTGGAGGGGTGCTGAGTGACAGAGACACTCTGGGGTATCAGCTGTGACTCTGCAGAATCCACCTGGGGTCTAAAAACTGCAGTTTCTATTCCAATGGCCATGCTCTGCAGGGCCCCTTTCAGTGAGCCTCTTCCTCTCTCAGCACCTCAAAGTCTTCCACTATGAAATGATTAGGTGGATTATCACTAGGGATGCTATCTGGTGTTAGGAACTAGAAATAATATTGATGATAATAATAATAAGAATGAAGGGCTTCCCTGGTGGCTCAGTGGTTAAGAATCCACCTGCCAATGTAGGGGACATGGGTTCGAGCCCTGGTCCGGGAAGTTCCCACATGCCGTGGAGCAACTAAGCCTGTGTGCCACAACTACTGAGCCTGCGCTCTATAGCCCGTGAGCCACAACTACTGAGCCCACATGCCACAACTACTGAAGCCCATGCACCTAGAGCCCTTGCTCCGCGGCAAGAGAAGCCACCGCAATGAGAAGCCTGCGCGCCACAAGGAAGAGTAGCCCCTGCTCGCTGCAACTAGAGAAAGCCCGTGCCCAGCAATGAAGACCCAACACAGCCAAAAATAAATAAATAAAAAAAAAAAAAAAAAAAAAAAGAATGAAAGTAAGAATGACAGGTACATTGTGGAAAACTGTGCCTGGTGCTTTCCACACAGTGTCTTATATAATTTTAAACCGAACACCACAAGGACTGTATTAATATGCCCATTTTACAGATGAGGAGAATGAGGCTCAAAGAGAGCTAGTACGGGCCAGAACATGGGTATATAATCCCAGGGTTTTCTGGCATCAGAACCTGAGCTCCACAAACATGTGTGGGCTCTGACCTCAAGGAAGTAAGGAAGTGCTAAGAAACAAAGGGGAGGTCAGTTTGACACAAGTTAAAATGTGTTCATGCCCACATGAGAGTTAACACAATGCCATGGGTATTAAGAGTAGGGAGAGTAGGGAGAGAGTCAGCTTCTGGCTGGGAGAAACTAGGAAGAGTTGTAAACTGAGAAGAGACAGCAAGGGAATTGCCTGAGCAATGCGCAGATGTGGGAAAGCAGTGGGTGTGCTAGGGGAAGTTTGGATAAACTTTGTGTGTGTGTGTGTGTGTGTGTGTGTGTGTAAAGGTAGGAAGAGATCACACCAGGCCAGGCATTTGGCCTTTATTCCATAGGCAATAAGGAGCTTACACAAGAGATATCTCAAGAGACCGGCTATGCTGTTGCAGTCAAAGAGGAAGCAGCCCTCAGTGCATCTGTGTCTGACCTTGTGAATGCAAGCCTGTGTCAGTATGTGGGAGGGCATCTGAGGGGAGAGTGTCTAGAGCTGTGTTCTATACCATGCTGGATCTGGGTCTTAGGTTGTCTTCAAAGGACCCCTCTCCCTTCTCTGGGCTCTAGGTACCTTGCACATAGTAGGTCCACAGGAAAATGCCATAGAATTATTGGTGGGCCCTTTGAAATCATCTGGTCATTGCCCCTTCCCATTTTAAAGAAGGCAAAAGGAGGGAACATAGATGGCAAAGGACTTATCTAGGATCACACATGGAATTAATAGCAGAGCTGGGGACTGGAACCCATGCCTCCTGAGTTCAATCTGAGTTCCTTTTCCACACTTTGCTGAGTAATAGAAATAGTATTTTTTGAGAGATTATTCCATACTAGACCTTGGGCTAAATACCTTTACATGGATTATCTCATTTAATCCCACAATCCCCTGAGGGTGCCCCTTTTGAAAGCAGGACGTCTTGTCTTCCATTTCGATTTTCCACTGCGCGTAGCACAGGACCTGGGCACCTAGCTAGACAGGCGATAAAAACTTGGAAAAGTCCAAGTCCCGGGAAGGGGGAGAAGACAAAGGAGGCGGGACCGTCTATCAGCTCCGCCCCCACAAAGACCCCGCCTTCCAGGACGCTGACGTCACCTTCTGGCTCCGCCCCTCATTGTCAGTCTTGGGAGCCGGAGGAGGCGCCGGCCGCCGGGAGCCGAGCGCCGGAGCCCTTGGCGGGCGGGAGCGCGGGCCGTAGCCGCCGAGGTGAGGAGTCTGTGGGGAGGTGGCGGGAGCGCGGCGCGGGAGGCCGGGCGGGCGGGCGGAGAGAGGAGGGCGCCCGGAGGAGGAGGCCTGCCCCGCCAAGGGGTCGGGGCACCCAGTGGTGACCGGGCAGAACCGGCGGGCGCACCCCGGCGAGGGCTGGGGGGTTGTGGAGTTGAGGTGGGGGTAGAGTTTGAGCGGAATTTCGGAGAAGGAGCTCGGAAAGGGAGATCTTTGGAGAGAGACCTTGAGAATTCTTTTGGAGTTGGGAAATTTTTCCTTTGAAGGGGGAGGGAAGGTTTTGAGAGACTTCTTGGTGGGAGCGAGAACCTGAGGAGAAATGTTAGGGGCCAAGAGCTGAGCAGAGGAGAGTTTTAGGGTCGAGTTTGGGAGTTGGGGGGTGGGGAGGCGCGCGGGGCCCGGTGGGGGCGGGGAGCGGTGCGGCCGGGCGGGGGGCCGGGACGCCGGGGAGGGGGCTGCGCGGGGCCCGTGGGCACCCGGGGAGGAAGGAAGTGATCTTACAGGAAGAGCCCGGGAGCTCCCGAGGAGGAGGAGGAGGAGAGGTGGAGAAGGAGGAGGAGGAGGGAGGTTTGGGAGCGCTCAGGCTGGCGTGCGGGCCGGGCTGCGGGGCCCGGCGGCGGGGACGCGGGATGGGCGAGGAGAGGGTCCCGCCGCGGCCGCCGCAGCTGTCCGCCAGCAGCGCCAGCCCGCGTCCCGGCCGATGCTGGTCTCGCAGCCAGACCGCTGGGCCGGGAAGGAATTCGAGGCATTCGCTTTGTTTAAGTTGCCAGTAGACAGTCCTTAGGACTAATTAATGGTGGAATCTGCTGGGGGACGCGGGCGAGCCGGGCCGGGGCCGCCCCCGCCCGCAGCCGCGGTGAACTTTCCGCAGCGCGAGCGGCCCGCCTCCCTGCGCGCCCCCACCCTTGCCCGGGCGGGGAAAGAGCCATGGCTTCCCGGAGCGCTGGAATGAAGTGCGGTTTCTGGGGCCGGTGGCCTCGGGCTGCGAGGGCTGCTGAAGGGAACCCGGCGTCCCGGAGCGGCCGGGCTGGGGGTTCGGAGCCCGCTGTAGAGCTCCCTGGGGTACCTGCGGTTTCTGTTAATAACCTTGGAGGAGGCTCTGCGAGCCGAGAAAGACCATCTTGCTTTGGAGCATCTGTTTCTTCGTCGCGTCAGCCCCTTTCCTAACACTGCAGAGCTTGTTGTGGCTTGTTTCGGAAATGCCGAGACCAGTGCTCACACTTGAGGGTGGGAGAGGGGAAGAGAATAGGCAGCCCCCACTTCAAAAAAAAAAAAATCCCTGCAGTGTGATCTCCGTAAAGCCCGAGAGACTGCAGATTCTCCGTCGCACCTTCACTGACTTGGATGACCTTGGGAAAGGAATTGTGCTTCTAGTGTTTAATCTGTCCATTAAGGAGAAAATACTTTCTGAACCTGCCTGCCTTTTGGGGGTATTTTGAGAGGTGGGGTTTGTTCAGGGCGTTTTACGGACTGCTGCAGTTCTGGCCTAAGGAGTTGGACTGGTGTCAGAGCCGGGGAATTCAGATCACCTATTAAGATTTTACTACCTAAGGTTAGGGAGGGAGGTGTTTGGATTTTAGGGGGATGTTTCCCTTTGGAGAATCTGTACGGTGTGTTCCAGACGGCTTTCTGTTACTTTGCGTGCAGCTTTGGCGGCATTCATGTGGTTAAATTGAATAACCCCCATAGAAAAAAATTCTTTTCTTGTTAGAAATAATTGTTTTGCTCAGAATTCCCCTTGGGGCAGATGAAGGTTTTGCTCAATTTACTCATAAGAATTTTCCAGGTTTCTAAAATTAAATCACTTCTAAACATAGTAACTGAAGTTTGAAAAACTGGAAACGGTGGGATGGGAAGGGAGTTGATCTAGAGTGATGAACAAGGAGCAAATACAGGTTCATTGTTGTCCTGTGATTACTAATAGGGATTGTGAATTAGCCTTGATTAATAGATATTTTCTTACTCTTAAATAATTTAAGACCAAGAAAGGGAACTAATATTGTTGAGTTGCCTACTCTGTGCCCAGTAATTATGCTACATGGTATAGATCTCATATAGTCTTCACAACAATGCTGTGAGGTGGTAGTTGGCATCCCTGTTTCACAGATGAGCAAACTGAGGGTGACTTTCCTAAGTGTATGCATACAACTAGTAAGAAGTGGAGCTGGAATTCAAACCGAAGTCTGTTTCTAAGATCCACTCTGCATATTGGGTTGGGAGCCAGGAGGCCTAGTTTCCAGGCCTTTGACTCAGCCACTGGGTCACTATGGTTGCTAAAATGAGTCAATTAAGTCTGTTCCCCAATAATATTACCTTTTCTTCCAGCAATGTTATCAGTAAGCTTTTGAGATAT